GCAGTTGTCATTCTGTCAGTAAAGGTGATGGCTCATAACAATTAGCAAAAGTTCTAGAAAGGTTTAGCTTTTTTTATTTGTATGATTGTTTTTGGTACTATACTATTGCTGCTCCTAATCTCTTGAACAATCTACCCCAGCACATTAGAGAGGCCCCTTCACTGTCCACTTTTAAAACACACCTTAAAACCCATTTTCACTCCTTGGCATATGACACAGTATGTAATATATAAATAAATTGCTTGCTTGTTTGCTATATACACACTAACCTACTTTTTTAGGTAGACTTGCAAGTACCACGGTTGACTCCCTTTTGCATTCAGAACTGCCTTAAATCTTCATGGCACAGATTCAACAAAGTGGAACATTCCTTGGAAATGTTGGCAATTTTTTTTTGTGTATCATTGTTTTGCACAGAGTGAGAAAACAGGCATTAAAAAATTTCCATTTGCTCTATGTGTGATTGTGCCACCCTTTTAACTGTCTCCCAGTTTACAGATATGAAACTGTACAATTGTGATTGCTACCATTTGGTGAATAAAGTGAATAATGTTTGTAAAGTGAGTAAGTCATTCGTTGTCAGGGAAGTCCATGAACAACACAACACAACATTTAACTTAAATGAAGGAGTAGTGAGGTCTTTTTTTGTCTTGAGATTTTAAGTAATTGTGCAGACTAATTATTTCGTTTCAGTACTGGCCTTATATTATGAAGCTGAGTTACAAGGAGATGGATGTGCAGCAAATTGGTTGAGAATAGATGGTACCGTGTTTTCTACCAAACACAAAATGACAGCCTCTCAGTCTCACATCTCTTTCATTTCTACATTTGCATTTTTGGAAAACAGGAAAACACTCATACTATATCATTAACCTCGATGACACACCAGAGATATTTTTTCTTGATGCAGTTAAACAGCTATTATGTTCTATGGAAGCATTGGAAAGCAAGTTTCATTCAGAATATATTTTGCATTACTTTCTTGTCTGTATATTTAAAGCACTAGAGCCTATCCCAGCTGTCTTAGAGCAAGAGGCAGGGTACACCCTGGACAGGTCACCAGTAACATCTATGGGCAATTTAGAGTTTCCAATTAACCTATCCCCACTCCCTGCTTTGGACTGTGGTAGGAAGCCAGAGAACCCAGGGAGAACATGAAAACTCCACACAGAAAGACCCCAGCCTGATGGTGGAATTGAACTCAGGACCTTCTTGCTGTGGCAGTGCAAACCACCGTGTCACTGTGCTACTGATGTTGTCGTTAAAGCACTGTGGTGGCCCATTTACAGGAAATGCAAACCGACAATAATAACAACAGTTACAGTTTGAACTTTGAATGAAGCCAGTATTAGTACATACTGTTTTAAATATGTTTTCAATTACTAATTCACTGCCATACCAAAGAAAGAGAGAGAGACTTTCTGGGTAGTAAACAGTTAGCATCTGCCAGTTGTTACCATTTTCTGAACAAAAGAAGGAACATTTGCTTTCTAGTCTGCATACAATGTAATGCCATCAAACAATTTTCTCACTTATCTCACATACCGTTTCAAACTGCTCTGCTAAAAATGAACAGCTCATGAGTACAGTTTAAATGTATGTGTCATCCAAATTTATGTGGATGTGTCGTCCATAGAGGAAGCACACTGCATATGGCTGATACTTTAATCTACAAACCACTTGCTGCTAACTCATGAAAAATAAAGCTGAGAAAAGAATCCCCCTGTTTGCTTAGTGCTGTTTTTTTTAGTTGAAAATATATATGTACAAATCTTGTACATAACTATACATATCTATTTTTGGTCACATGACAGGATAGTAACTTCATCCAGTCACATTTCCAACAGCAGTCTGTGTGCAGTCATTGACTCGTGAGCCCCCTGTGAGCCTGCTGGATGTGACTGTGTGGCTCAAAATGCAACCGGGCAAACCAGGACCGGAGATTCCCATTGGTCAGCATTTGGGTGTGAAAGAGGGATTAGCTCTGTGCTGCAATCCATTCACCCAGAACTTGCTTTCATTCCTGTATTCATGTCTCTGCCATCCTCTGCATAACATGTTTTAAATGTAATAACTTGTCAAATAAACACAGAAAACAGCAACAAATGACACATGTCAGAAAATGACACAAAGAGCACTTGCATTTCTGAAATGACTTTCTTTAACTTGGGAAATAATTAAAGATACTTTAAAAGAGTTTAGGAGTTTGGTCCTCAAATTTCAACAAGTGGCTGATAATGTTATGATCCTTGTGCAAGTGCTATAAGCAGGAAATAAATGAGATGTGCACTCAGTTTGTAATTTGCAAGTGTGAAGCAACACTGTGGATATTCATGAAGCTTCAGTACATTGTCTAGAGAAACAAACTAGAGAATGACACTACTGACCTGACTTTAAATGGGAATGTATGTTTCTGGTGGAAAGTTGCTCATTTGACAGAATTTTAGCGACTCACGTAGAAAGACTTTTTGAGAATATATTATTTTGAAATGTTTTGACTGTAATCACAGGTGTTGTGGTGCTGGCACAAATATCAACAAATTGTATCTCAAACCCTGGAAAAACACACAATAAAACCAAAACTACCTTTTTATGCCAAGATGTAACAAAGACAAACAAATAAGGAAAGCAAGTTTACGTTAAAAAAAAAACACATACGTGTGACGGCGGGCTACCTCATCCTGTCAAACAAAAGGCTTGGCCTGTGATTACAAATCGTCTCCTAACATCCTGACCAACTTGGAATGATTCATGAGCCGCCTTGGAGGGGATTTTCAATGACTCTCCCACACTGCCACATTCTGTATGTGCCTGACAGGAAAATAAACTGCTGGCTCGTCTGTTTCAAGATCCTTCCTTAGATTGTTTAGCATTACTTAACAAATTTAACTCTTTTAAAACCTTCAATACCGCTTTTGTAAAATAATATTTATAAATAAAGGATATAGCATCCTGTTAAAGGTGGGACCCTTTAACAGATGCAGTTTGCTTTGTATATATGAGACCGTTGAGTCAGTTATTAATTTTGGGATAAGTTGCACTTTCAGTTTCTTATCCCAGAAAAGAAGCCTGCCCCCTTCCAGGAACGTCTTCGCATCACTACTACAGAATTTCTCAAACTTGCCAATTTTGAACTCTAAAGGTGCTCCAGCTCAACAGATGTCTTACATTTGTCATGCTGCGCAAGCAAAGAAGGTAAGAGAAAGGTTTAACTGTGAATACTGGTATGCACTGTTTCTTCCAGTCTTTGTGAAAACAACTGAGTAAGCTGATATAAATAAAGGAGTGGGGGCAGAAGCCTGTTTCCCACAGAATATTTGTTTCATTTGCTTTAGGTCATGTACTGCTTTAGTAGTTTAATGAGCTACATAATGACGCTGTCTTCACATTCTTACAGTTGGATCACACCTTTGGTTAACAGAAGAGCTGCTATTAACCAAAGGGGTTTAGCCTTATGCCAAAGCCTTAACGTCTTATGTCAGTTGACGCCTAACTTTCATTTAATATATGACGCGAGGAGGAAATGTTAAATGATGTTCAAATCATATTTTTTTGTGTTCCAGTGAGTTTTGTGACTTTTGAGGATGGCAAAAGAGAAGCATCACGATACTTTAATGTTGGAAATGGGACAGGGTTTAGCAAAATTCCTGTTTCATTTCATTATTAAGACAAGCAATTATTCTGCATACTCTTGGGCCTCATGATTTAAGACCAGTCAAAATATTCAATATTTATCACCTTAAACCACTGATTCTAGTTTACGTTTCAATCAAAACAACAACAACGAAAAGAAAAAATTGAAAAACAGAAGTATGTATTTACCACTGGCCTCTTTCTACTGTCGGTATCCACAGCCCACAGGAAGTGTACTAACATTATAGCTCAGCTGAAGAAGGAAACTATGACTACCATGAGCCAATCTTCAAATTTAAAATGAGGCTGTAATAGAGTTAACAGACTCTTGACTACTATTTTCTTGACTAAAAAGTCTACATTTCCCAAAAATACAATCTAAACCCATCACTGCCTGACAAAGATATTTCACATTCCACAACCCCTGTTCACAAGGCAGGCTTTGTTTTAAAAATATCTAACTGACACGAAGTCATTAGGGTCCTTTTCAGACCTACTCTAGACCCAAACACTCAGAGTCTGAGTCAGGCTTCCAAGTTAAAGTGAAAAAAAAAGTTACACAACCTAACTACTATGAGTTACTTGCTCATTAAACATTATGACATCAGAGGGGGTAATCATCTGTCTGGAGTATACTGCGCAGAGAGCTCCGGCCAAAGATGTTTCTAAGTGAGCAATTTGGAAAAAACCGCTCTTTCAACTCTTTCACCACCCTGACCATTGCTTTATGAAAGGCCTACGTCATTGTTTTCCAGTTAATATAGAAAGGCTTTTGGTTACTCTTCAAACATATCTCATAGAGTTTTCTATTGTTTGGGCATCATTTTATAGCTTCTGGATATTTGACATTTCTTAAGCTGCCCTGTCATGAACATAACTCTCCACTCTGCAGTGATTTGTAAATACAAAGAGTATAGCTCGAGCTCAGGGGGAGGAGACGTCTCAGACTGGTCTCTGTTAACTGATTGATGATAATTGCTTTTTATTTGTCAGCGGATGATTTAAGTGTTGTTAGTCCACAAATAGTGAAGCCCTGGAATGATGATTAAAGGGGATTAAAATTAAGGGTGACGGGTGTGGGCTTGTTTGGAACACTCATATTTTCTTTCCTTATGTCTCGGAGATTTCATCTCTAAAGTAGTGGACTTTAAACTGGACTTTGAAATCTGCCCGAGGGACTGCTGTCTGCTCTTAACTTGGTTTCGAGTTATACAGAGCTATAGCTTGAGCACACCCCAGACTGTAAGTGGTCCAATTCCTCTGAGTTTATTGCTCACTGTTTGACGGTACTTTCTGTGTGTACAGGTAAGAGGAAGACAGAGCCATATTTAGACTGTCCGGCGCGTCACCGCTGACTGCGCGCTGCGGACTGTTTTGACAAGTGCGGGACTTTATTTGTTCACTTAAATGGACTAACGGTGAGGATGGAGCACTTCTGGCGGAATACTGTCTTCACTTTAATTGTCATAAGTAAGTACCAAACTTCTGTTTTGGACTTTAAAGATGTTAACACATTTTCTTTTCGCCGCCACCCTTTCGAGGGTGATAAACAATCCTCGCCGGGAAAAGCGGCGATTTCATAGTTTTTCAGAAGATCTTTTTTCTCACTAAGCTGTATCAGTTATTTGATGTATATTTAACTTCAGCCTCTGAACGGTTTTTGCGCATTTTGAACATATTGCAAAACGTGTGAATTTCACCGGATAATTAGCCAGGAGATTATTTTTAATGAGATTTCCAGCATTTATTCGTCTCTTGTAGAAATAATATAATAGTCAAGGCTCTACGTTATGTAGATCATAAAGGAAATAACTAATATTTTCACATACTGCTCGCTATCGCTGCCCTCCAATGTGTGGCAGCTGTGGAGCAGAACATGACAGACATTTTTAATCCGGTCCTTATTTCTGTTCCTGTTTCAGTTGTTAATCATGGTTTTTGGGTTGTGCACGGGACGCAGCGAGCTTTTTTTGTGCTGCAGGTACACGGGCGTGGCAAAACACAAGACTGGTGAAGGTTTCGTGAATCCTCTACCTGCTGAGAAGGGAGAGAGGCAGGCTGAAAGCTGAGCTCTGCTCTGCCTGTATGGGCTTGTGGGTCTATTGCTGCACCAAAATATTCTACCTGAGGGGATTCAAATGGATGTGTTTGGGAATACAGCCATCTCTTTAGAAACAGACTGATCCGTTACAGCTTCTACTAACTCAAACTTCAACTCTTCGTGAAATGTATGAACTCTGAGTGTGTGAAGCTTTTTAATCGTCTGCCTTTCTCACTGAGTTAAGGGGATGCGGTTTTTAACAGAGCATGAGCCACAGATGCCTCAGATTGTTGCTGAAGATAAAACTGAAGCTGTAATACTTATAATCCTGCTCTGACATCAAATGCAATATGAAATGCAGATAGATATTTGTGTTGTCACACTGTGATGTTAATTCCTCTTTCCCCTCCACCAGCTGACAGTATCTGGCAGGCACAGTCCTTCAACCTTGGTACTGCAGGTGCCAAGATCTTTAGCGGAACAGCAAAAGAAGAGTTTGGTTACACAGTCCAACAAGTGGAAAACAATCAAGGCAAATGGTATGAATTTCTGTCACAACATAAAAAAAACTTCTTGAATCAAAGAGGCTTCAGTGTCATCACCATGTTTTCTTGTCTTTAATGTTTTATAGCAAAAATATTAAGCTGCTATAAGCCTTCAAGCGGTGTGCATATTACTTTGCAGTTTTCCTAGAAACAGCATTAAAAGTGGGGGAGATAATGGCATTCACAGAGGACAGGTTTGAGGTCCTCGTTATCAGCCTGCATGCTACAACAGGCTCATTTTGGTGTTGCGCAAAGAGTCGGACGTGCATCACAGAGTGATTGGCTCCAAACTGACTTAAAAGCTTCAAACAATTGTACACTTGAGAAAAAAAATCCTGTTGTTGTACACAAACTAATATCTTTGAATCAGATAATGCGCGTGCAGTCACATCATGTTATTTTCAAAAGAATCAAGTTGGAAACGACAGCCTATTACTGCAAAGAGATGGAACTGGAAATGTTCAAGCCACTTACTGGCACACAAACAAGTCTCCACACTGCTACGCTACCACCAAGTTGAAGCAAGTTTTCAAAGCAATACATTCCATTGCAAAAATGCAGTTACAACAGTAGTTTCAAAAGTCTTAACTATTGAGTCAACAATTCACACATTATTTAGTTTTTAAGAGATGCACATGGAAACTGCAGTGGCCTTAGCTGATTTCATTCCGTGCTTTAAAAAGCTGCACTTTGTTGTTGTTAAACAGCTGTTGTTCATCTACAGTTCTCACACCACTCTTATAAGGGTTGTAGTGTGGAAACGCTGCCATTTCATTTCCTGTGGTATCACTACTGAGGTTGAGCATTTTCACAAAAACATGAACATGTAACTAAACATGTGCTGATATTACCTGTCACGTATAACAGCTGATAAATATTGAATAGGATACAGACTTTTTTTTAGCCCAAAATGTTTAATTTTGCACGTTACTATACTGTTTTAAACCTTCTTCGCCAATTTTTATTATACATGTGTAACAGTAAAGCAGTAATAAAATTCATTACTGTTTAACATTAGTTAAACAGTAATAACAACTAGGTGTCTGACTGTTGTACACTCTGAGTCACCATTTGTCAGAGTAACTCACCGCCTGAAGGAGTGACCTATTTGCGTAACTTGGAAATACAGAATCTGATAAAGACTACTGATTGCACGTTGCATGGCAGTCAGCAAACTAAACAGGAGATACACACAATTACACATCATACCATATATGACAGAAGGATGAGTGCCTCTTCCTGTGCCTTGTTGAGCTCTAGATTTTGAGAAATGTCTAAGTAACAGCAAGAAAGAGCTGGATGTTGTGGGAATAAAGTACATGAAGTGGATATTTTCTGTTTTAACTTTGATGTTTGTTTTAAAGAATGAATGAATTGAATTATCCACATATGTTATTAAAAGAGCAGAAAAACTCAGTGCTGCAAGTTCATAGACTGATTTTTAAAAAAAAAAAGCAGTTTTCTGTATTTTATGTGAAAATGTTTGTGTTTTTGCGATTACCAAAATTTCCCATACGTAGGTAAAGCTTTAAGGATAACGCAAACAGTGCATGTTTTTTGGGTTTTTCTTTTTCCTAGGCTCCTGGTTGGTGCTCCTTGGAGCGGTTACAGTCAAAACAGGAAGGGGGATATTTACAAATGTCCCATCACAGGATCCAAAAACAGCTGTGATAAGCTCAATCTTCAAGGTAAGGTTTTTGATGTTTGTTTCACAAATAAGAGGCTACATTGCAGAGAAACACACAAGAAGTGATTCTGTCCTTTTTATGTTTCCAAATTCGTCAGACGTAACAGTTAAATCCAACAAAGTTGTAATAACTTCATATATTGAGCTTTTAGAAGCTTTTTCTTCAGGTTGTAGAAATTCTTGATGAGAACTGTAATCTGAACAGTAATCTAATGATGTTTTTGCCACTTTTTTTTTACAGATTCTGTCAATGTTCCAGAGGTTAAAAATGTCAATGCCAACATGTCACTGGGTTTGACTCTTACTCGAACGCCTGGTGACAATGGTTTGACGGTATGTTTGTTTGAGTGTGTGCAACTTCACACATATCATAAAAAGGAAATAACACTATATCACTGAGCATAAGGAGAGCTATTTCCAGTCTATATGCTCAGTGATGTATTTTTATAACCACCTCAGTGACTAACACTTTCTATTCAGTTAGGCCTTTACAACACAACTCCTTATTCATTACTCCATACATCACAGTTCTAATAAAGACCTTATTAATGCCTTATTCACTATGTTTGGCTGCTACTACACCATTTCCTTCCTATTTATAAGTTGGCACAAACTGTGTGTGACTCACTCCAGTGATAAAAAAAAATATGGGTGGTCTCTTTAGGGAGCTAGACTAGAAAAGCAGAGCTGGTTGTTTAGATTGGATTGTTACGAAGTTGTTGTAGTATGTAGTATGTAGCCCGTGCTAGATGAGCCCGTGACTGAGCTGTGTACTGATATTTGAACGTAAATATGACTCTTAGGAAACTGACAATACAAGATATAATTAAGAATTTCACTTTGGTCTCTGAGTTGCAGCCAGAGACGGTTTGAGGATCTAAATTCAAGGTTCATGAGGAAGATACAGAGTGTGTATGAAAGTGCTTGAAAGTGGGACTTCCACAGTGATGTAAAAATAGCACCCATGATGAAAATTGTCCAGAAGTGCACAGGTAGATGACCTCGAATGAGAAACTGTCCAAAATGATCAAAGCATGATATAATATTTATTGTAGGTTCTTTAAATGACAAAATAAAGTGCCTTGAGCTGACTGTTGTTGTGATTTGGCACTGTTTAAATAAAACAGAATTGAAGTGATATCAACTGAGGGCATTAGTTGATATCACTTCACCTAATGTTGTGTTATATATACTGACGGGAAAAATGTTCATACACAAGATATCACTGGAAACCTTTAAAGATACTCATAACAACAAGCTTCCTTTAAACTTCCTTGTTTCTTCCTCTGTGGTTGGCTGATACAGACATGCGGTCCACTTTGGGGTCAGCAGTGTGGCACTCAAAACTACTACCCAGGAGTATGTGCCAAATTGGATCCCGTCTTTCGGCCTCAACCTGCCTTTTCTCCAGCTGTCCAGAGTAAGATGTTTTAATATGCTGTGTATAGTTCATTATCTTTCTTGTAGTGCTTGCCTTTTCATGCAGTATTCCCTCAATACTAACTAAAGGAAATACAGCCTTTTGTTAATCTACAGCTCTTTAATTACCAGTTTCAGATAGATCCCGGTGCTTCTGGAAAATCTGACAGAGATCTTACAAAACATTTTTAATTAAAGACTAAGTTTGAAATATTTTTTTCTCCAGACAATGTTCTTCATTTTTCAAGTTCCTTCGTGTTTCATTGTTAGTCATATCTTTTGGTTACCTTCTGTTTTACTGTGAAGGTTTGTTTTCTTGTGGCCTTGTTGTGGTTTTGATTCCTGATTTTGTTTAAACTGTTGAAAGACACGATAATGTTAACAAATGGTGAAGTGCAACTAGGAGTTAAATACGACATATTATACCAAGCAAGTGTCAGAGCTCAAGGCTGTGGCTGAATGAGTGATAAATAAATGCATTGCATGAGCACAGTTTATTTAATTACTACTGACTTTTTCAGAGTGTGGAGGGCCGATGGACATTGTGATAGTTTTGGATGGCTCCAACAGCATTTTTCCTTGGAAACCCATTGTAGAATTCCTGAAGAATTTATTACCCGCTCTTGACATTGGACCCCAAAGTACACAGGTAACTATGCAACTAAAGCTGTAAGTCAATAGTTTTGACTTACAGCATTGGTAAAAAAGAAATTACATCCACTTTCAATTATAAGGTTTTACATCTCAGGACATAATATCCTTGCAAGAATCTGGTAATGTCCTTACCAGAACTTAAAATTAAATAAATACAACCTCAAATTAACAAGAACAAATTACAGTTTACATGATGTAATAACTGAACAAAAACTAGGCCAAAATGCTGAAGCAGTGTGTGAAAATGTATATACAGACCATGAATCAGTAATTTGACCACAGATGACTTTATCAGTCTCTCACATCATTGTTTGAGGTTTGACCCGCTCTTTTTTACAAGGTCACTTTAGTTTATTGAGGTTTGCAGGAATTTGTTTAAGCACAACTCTCTTTCTGTCCTCTCACATGATTTCAGTCAGTTTAAGGTCAGTCTGTTGAGTCTGTTGTAGATTTGCTGCTGTGCTTAGGATCATTGTCCTGTTGCATGACCAAATTTTGGCGAAGCTTTAGCTGTCAGACAGCTCATGTGGCTGCGAAACAAGCCCAAATAATCACCCCTACATCGCGGTGTCTGTGTCTAGTTGTACATAAACTTTAATATTTAACACACGAAATGAGACCAGAATGTGAGATGGAGCTCTTGGTTTATTTTGCAGTTTTTCTGAGCATTGCAGGTTTGACCTTGGGTTGAATGTCAACTCCCAGATTGGCAGCTGTCTTGAAGGTTTTAGACAAGTGGATAATCTTTTCCATTGTAGACTGATGGATTTCAAATTGTTTAGCAATTTTAAACCTCCCCAGATTGGCGAGTAGTAATGTTTGCCTTTTAAAGATCATTCCTGATGTTTCCAAGCAAACTGCCAAAATTTCCTGTTCCTACTTACCCTCTTAATTTATATGGAAGCAGTTAGAGTATACTTTTTCCACACACAGGATTCAAACAGATTATTTTTTATAATGTCCTGATATGTAAATCCCTGTAATTGAAAAAGGGGACGCTTTCTTTCTAGTTTTCCTGTTGTCATTATTGCCACTGTCTGTAATTTGATGTATAATTTTTTTAACATTATTATGCCAGGTTGGCGTCATCCAGTATGCCGTGAACCCCAAATTTGAATTCAAACTGAATCAGTATCAGAACAACAAAGATGCTATTTCTGCAGCATCTAAAATAAAGCAGATGTCTGGGGACATGACCAATACCTTCCAGGCAATTGAGTTTGCCAGGTTAGTTGATTTTTATCACATCAGAATCATGTATTTGTTTTATTTATCCATAAATAAATCCAATATCCTGCTTTGTCCTCTCCTTTCAGCACTGCCGGTTTTAGTGCCCAAAACGGCGGCCGACCAAACGCTGCCAAAGTAATGGTGGTTGTCACTGATGGTGAATCACATGACTCATCTAAGACAAAAGCAGTTATTGCCGATTGTGAGAAGAAGGGCATTACCCGCTTCGGTATTGCAGTAAGTGCTCATCTACCATTTACGCTGATTATTCATGTGTAAAAAGTATGATCATAACACTGAATTTCAGGTAACCAAGTCACATATTTAAGATAAATTTCCATGACTTGAATCATACGTATTATGTAATGGTGACATTTCCTCATTTTCTGCATTTAAGAATCCTTTGTTTTAAAGAACTGCTCACTTTATGTGCAAACTCTGACAAGTGTTTGAACTGCTAGCAAGTATAGTTCACCTTTCTAACTGGTACTTGCTAACTGCACAGTACTGACCTGCATTAAATTCCTTTTCTGATGGTTTATATTTGCTCATTAATTTGCTGATTTGATTTGTTACTTAAACCTCGTTATATTTACTTTGTTCAATCTGGAAATGCTGTTTTGTTTTTTGTTTTTTAAAAAAAAAAAAATAGATCTTGGGTTATTACGAAAGAAATAACATCGACACAGAAAAGCTTATAAGTGAAATCAAATCCATCGCCAGTTCACCCACAGAGAAACATTTCTTTAACGTATCTGAAGAGGAATTCCTCTACACCATCGCTGGAACTCTGGGCGACCGCATCTTCAGCATAGAAGGTACATAGAGGATTATGCCATTTCCCGGCCTGTTGTTGTGTTTACTGTAACTATATATAACATGTAGTCTATGTGACAATGGATGTACAGCGCCATGAAAAAGTATTTGCCCCCATCTTGATTGCTTGATTTTTGCATTTTGTCACTTAAAATGTTTCAGATTATTTCCTTTATTAAGAGGAAAATGCTACCCAAACCTGCCTAGCCTTGTCTGAAAAAGTAATTACCCCCTGAACCTAATAAGTAGTTGTCCAACCCCTGGCAGCAAGAACAGCAATGAAGCTTTGTGATAACTGTCAATGACTCACTTAAATCCCTGGGGAGGAATTTTGGCCCCCTCTTCTTAGGAGCATTGTTTTATTTCAGGAATACTGGAGGGTTTTCAAGTCTGAACAGGCTGTTTAAGGTCATTCCAAAGCATCTCAATTTGATTTGGAGGTGGACTCACTGGTGTGTTTCGGATCAGTGTCCTGTATAATCAGCGCTTGATCTTCAGACCACGACCTAAAGGCCAAATATTCTCCTTTGGGATTTTCTTGTAGAGAGCAGAGTTCATGGCTCCATCAATTATGGCAAGTCGTCCAGGTCATAAAACAGCAAAGCAGTCCCAGGCCATCATACTGCCCCCAGCATGTTTGACTGTTGATATGATGTTCTTTTCATCAAATGCTGTTAGTTTTATGGCAGGTATGTGATTACCAAGATGTTTTTTGGCAAATGTGAGATGAGTCTTTGTGTTCTTTTTGGTCAGCAGTCTTTTTCACCTTGGAACTCGATGCCATTTTTGCCCAGTTTCTTTCTTAATGTTAAATTGTGGACTCTGACCTTAACTGAGACAAGTGAGGCCTGCAGTTCTTTAGCTGTTATTCTGGGTTCTTTTATGACCTCCTGGGTGAATCATTGGTGGACTCTTGCTGTGTCCCAAGGTTTTAGCAAATGCTTTGCAACTCTGTCCAGTGACTTTGTTTCTTATCTGTTCTTTAGATTGTGACATGATGAGTTATCATTTGAGATCTTTTAGCCTAATAAACCTTCATTTTGTCAGACAGGTTCTGTTTAAGCAGTAATCAAAAAATCATTTTTCTTTGTGTGAAAATTTATTTGATAATGTGAAACATTTACATGTGAGAAATATGCAGAAAACGAAGAAATCAGGAAGGAAGCAAATTCACTGCACTGTAGATTAATTTCGTGACATGTCTTTTCTAACTTAAGATCTTAACATGTGAGTTTTCATTATCTTTATGTTACCGTTTGTTATGTTTGGGTTTTGATTCTGGTGTACACATAATGCTTTGTTCCCACAAGGCACTGGAAAAGGGGCAGACAGCTTCAAAATGGAGATGTCCCAAGTTGGATTCAGTGCTCACTATTCCAGCAAACAGGTACCCACTCAGCCAAAAAATGAATCAGATTAAAAAGGGTAAAGGTTTGTCAGACATCTTTTTTCTTGCCTGCTAAGCTGTGGAAACATGTGCAAAACCACTTTAAGAATAGCTGGTTAAAGTGGTTAGTATTTGTATCTGATGGATCTGATCCGATTTATGTTATATGTGCATATCGGTCATGCAGTCATGTAGTGGTGTAGTGTTTGTTGCCTAGATTTTGATCTTCTCTCTTTAAGGATGTATTGATGCTCGGAGCAGTGGGAGCCTATGCCTGGAGCGGGACTGTCGTACATCAAACAGGGTCACAAGTACATGTTCTCCCTCTTTCAGCCTTTGAAGATTCACTGCAAGACAAAAACCATAGCTCACTACTGGGTAGGCATTTAATTCTTTATTTATTGGACCAAATCTATAATACAGTTTGACTTTGTTAGATAACTGTTTGCATAAAACACTACAGGGATAGGTGTAATTGATGGCTATTTTTTTAATACCAATACGTTTACACTACAACTGCATGGCTTTGAAAGCCACATTGGAGGCCTATGAATTTATTACATATAAAGTTTTTATGTTTCACTCATTTCAGTCCAATCGTTGTACTTTTCAGGGTAGAGCCTTTGTTAAGCAGCTTAGCACAAACCTGAATCATTCAAGCATAAAAAGGCATTTAACTCAAGGGATAAACCAGTACATATAGCAGACAACTTAGCAAACACTGAATTTTAAATTCTATCGTTGCGCACTGTTGTTGCTCGCAGCATATCACAAACAAACATATAATTTGTTCCAATTTCTTTAGTCAAATCCATTAAAGATGCCAAATATAGCACAGTTGGACATTAAATAATGAAATAATGGCAAAATAATACAATATTTTTGCAACAACTAGGTGATTTGCAAAGAGCTATTAGCCTTTGTAAATCCAAAATTTGATCTCGTGTTTACAACGTCATAGACTGGCCCGGTATGAATTTGCTTTTTCAGTTGTATAAGAAAATGAACTGTGAGACAGTGTGTTAAACGTGTGATGGCATCCCTAAGTGATAGCAATGAATATTTTAAAACAAACACCAAGATTCTCAGGTTTGCACTGTGGTTAAGTCAGTTTCCGCTCTGAGAAGTGGCAACCTGAGTCTGTGTCTGAGGCAGTGCAATATCTCTGCTGCAACAGCAACAAGAGACAGCTAACTCCTCCCTTCTCTCGACTCTCCTGCACCAAGTCTTCCTCAGGTTCTTGTCCAATGTTAAGGTGGCTTTAGCAGATCACGCTGCTTTGCAACAGCTGCAGGAGTCCAGCGCGTTGCTGAATGCAGATTATTGAACCAATCAGGCATTGGGTTGGAGAAATACTGTGCTGTGATAGGGTTGCACAATTAGGGTAGGGGTGGTGCCCTTTTTGTTTTGTTTTGGGGGTTTTGAGATCAGGTTATATTCAAAAACATGTCGGGGCAAAAAAGACACCTGGGCTGAGGTATGCCAAATTACACAAGAACTGGACCAGAAATGAGTGGCAACATGTCTTATAGAGTGATGATTTAAATATACAGTGGAGATGAGGAGAGGGGTACAACAGTGAGTGTCTACAGCTGTAGAAGAAGGTGGTGGTTCTGTCAAGATTTGGGGATGCAGTTCTGCCAATAGTTTTGGGACTCTCATCAAAATTGATGGCGTTGTGAACGCAGAAAAAATTTTGATCGAATAAGTCCTTGATTTAAAAAAAATTCCCCAGATGTTTTCCTTGATTTTTGAGCTTCTTGAGACAGCGGGGGCATGTACAAACTGCTCTCGAGTGATATCACCCTTATGAAATTTTATAGTGCTTGTTGAAGCAGGACACCTTTCTGTGCCATCGTTCTTATTCATAAATAGTTTAGCAAAATCATTCACAGCACTGCTACACCCAAAGTGCGCCTGACTAGAGGTCTGAACAGCCAGAATAACTGAGAGCACCATTGTTGTTGAATAAATGTAGA